AAGTAAAAACAAAGACGCTCTAGATAACAGACTGATCTTTTCATTTTTTTCTCAGACAAGATAAGAGAGAAAATATCGTCAGCAATTTTCAAGCAGTTTAAGGTCAAAGAACATAAAGTCTAGTTCAAACTCAACAAATTACTAAAGAATACCCACCGTCACACTTTTGCCCACAGAGCTGCCAAACACTGACATTGATTTTGGGAGTAAAAAAATATATAAAACTGTGTATCCAGTTCCTAAAATACTGATCCAGAAGTGCTGCAGTGATCTAACTGTTTACTTAAAGTAGCTTTCCAGAGTTTTCGTCTTTCAGAAATTATGTATGATTTTTCAGAAATCCTTAAAAGTTATCATCTTATCATGTACGACTTTTTTTTTTGGCTAAGCACGCCCCCTGCCCCGCAGAGCTCCATGCAATAGGAAACTGAGCGCCAACCAGAACTAACCAATAGCATTAAGACTACCGCTTACTTGCTTCAAATTTAAGGAATACCTCTGCTGATGCAGAGTTGATGAATATTTCACAGACAAGTAAGCCTCTAAAATATAAATATATGAAAACACAACGTCATCTGAGAATAATACTGGTAAAAGAACATGTTTTAGCTCTGTTTGTTGCTACAGAAGCACATTCATAAACAAGAAACGTGAAGTCGCCATCTTAAAAAAACGGAAGGAGAAATTATTTGTGCAATATTCTTGTCAGCCACTAGATGGTGCCATCGGATAAGAGAAATGCCCTAGAAAGAGACTTTAAATAAACACAAATTCATTAGTAAATTGTTAAAGGTTCATTATTATATCCATATTCGTGTAGAAACATCACGTTGTCGTTGTGATTATTTCAGGTTCCAAGATTTTCTTTCTAGGTTCTTTAGACTTATTTCAATTCCATTACTAGCTAAATATTTAAATTAGGAACCAGGCATTCTTCTTGCACCTTGTCCCATTTTGTTGTTTCCCAGTTTGGTTGTTCTGCTGGTGTTTCCCTTCAGGTCTAACTGGCTGTAGTTGGATTTGGTGGTTGTAGAGCCAACACACCTTAATCTCATCAGCCTCTTAACCCTGGTCATCTTCTTCTCTTTGGTTAATTCAATTGGAATTTTCCATGAACTTGATACCTACCAAAGTTTCCTCTAGAACATGTCTGTCTGCCCCGCCCGCAGTTCGAGTATACCCTGAACAATTATCTAGCACTATTCACCTGCCAAATCTGCATCCACACCTACGACTTCAGGCAACCCACATCTGCACTTACCTGGCTCCAGTTTCTGTCTGAACATCCTCATACAGATGGATCCAAGCAATTCAACAGTTTCTTCTCTGCCTCAACCGTATTACTGGCATTCCACCCCTTCACGGATAAAACTACCAGTGATACTAACCTCCAGCCCATTTGTGCTGCTTCTCGTCTGCTCTGCTTAAGAGTGGCATTTCACTCATTTTCACAGCATTTTCTGTTAACAGCTGCTCCTTCTGAGGCATGATATAAAAATACCTTCTAATATTAAACTGTTTCATTTCAATGTGCACCTATCAACTTTGACATTGTGGGTTTAGCTGGCCCAGCTCCGCAGCGATGCTGATTTTACAGGCATCCTCGGTTGTTGTTACTGTAACAAGATGGTTGGATGTGTTTTCTCAATCTTTTAAAAACAATTATGTGTCCATTAGGGCTGGTCGATTTGGCCTAAAATTAATATCACAATATATTAAGGATTTTCCCATCGATAACAACAAATGGACGATAACTTCAGGTATGCGCAGAAACAAAAGTTGTCCAATAGATGGGGCTGTCACGTGTATTAAGTTGAGTGACATATTTACGTGACTCAAGGTGGTACAGCTTCTTAAAGGGACATGAACGCTGCCAACCTACACACATGTTTTCATTTTTTTATTATCAGATTTATAGAGATGGGAAAAATGATCACGATAAGAGTCAGAAATTTCGATAACGATACATTTTCGATTTATTGCCCAGCCCTAGTGTCCATATTTGCAGAGCGCTGTTGGGACTATCTTATTCTGATTTCTGCCACCATTAAAATGAACCCCTTGGTTCTAAAAGTGGTGTTACTTGTACATTCTTTAAAATTTTCTGATGTGCTCTAAATGTTTCTGCAATCAAAGTCTAACAGATTTTTTAAGATTAAAAGGTTCTTTAACAAAGACACTGAAGATTGGGCTTTAGCTATCAAATAATCAAGTACTCTATCAGATAGTTTTGTGATCAGATATTCGCAATACCTAGCTGAAGATGGTACAGTGTGGTTACACTGAATTTCTACAATTTTAATGCAGAGTCTGGCCAATACCTTTAAACCATCCCAAGCTTTCTGTTTGTTCTTGTGGAAACCTTTCTTTGTCACTAAATCAGTTAGAAGGCTGGTGAGTTCTTCATCACTACTGAGACACTCCAAGTTGATGGTGCTAAAATTCATAAGCCCAACTACTCATGATTTCTTTCATAAGAAAATGTAGATGTCTGTAAAATAACATTTGACTCATCTCATTGCAGAATCTGAGCATAAACTCACTATTGTTGTTACAGGGTGATAAAGTCTAACCAATGTATGCAGAGAAGTGTCTACGTTTTCTTTCCACTCACTTTAGGCATCACTGATTCAGGACGGTGCATCTGCTAAAGGACAAAGTAGAAGAAACTATCTTTTTCATGTAGTGCCTCTCAAGATAAAAATCATGAGGTGTTTCACAAGAACAAAAAAATTATATTAAAAATACATATTAAAAAATGGGGAAAATGAAAGACAGAATTGGTAGAAAGAGCAGAATGAAGAGAGGGAAGTGATCAAGGTCACGCAAAAGCCAGCTTAAACACACGAGTCTTCAGCTGCTTTTTAAAGGAGACCACTGAGTCCACTGATCTCAGGCTCAGGGGGAGAGCGTTCCAGAGTCTGGGGGCCACAGCAGCAAATGATCTGTCACCTTTGGTCTTTAGCCTGGTGCTGCACAACCAGTAGGCTTTGATCACTGGACCTCAGGGACCTGCTGGGGGTGTAGGGACTAAGAAGATCACCAATGTATGATGGTGCTTGTCCATGTAAGGCCCTATAGACCAGAACAAGGATCTTGAAATGAACACTGAAGTTGACTGGCAGCCAGTGAAGCTGGATGAGAAGCGGGGTGATGTGGGTGTATTTGGCGGACTTGGTCAGAAGCCGAGCACAGGCATTCTGAACCACCTGTAGACGGTTCAGGGAGGTTCTGCTCAGACACGTGAAAAGAGAGTTACAGTAGACTAAAGCCCTTTTCAGATAGACATTCTGGAACATTTGTGGACAATTCAATCCGGTTTTTAACCGGAACTGTGTTTTCAGACACACCACTTTTGTACCGGAACTTGTCCTTTCGGCTGCGTTCACACAGCAGGGAAAAGTTCCAGATGTCTGACGGCGGCGGGGGGTGGGGTGGGGGGGAGAATCGGACTCATGTTAAGAAGAAGAAGAAGAAGAAAATATCATTTCTATAGCGCCTCTCAAGATAAAAATCACGAGGCGCTTAAGCATAATTCTGCGCACACGAAGATGCATAAGACACCTGGATGATGAAGCTCAATGGTTAAAGGAATCACTGAAGCGGTGTGAAGCGCTCCGTCGCGCGTCTAGACGGTACCGTAGGAGGCGAGCTGCCGTGGTTCGCCGCATGCTACAGCAGCGGGCTATCTAGGTGCGCACAGCGTCCCCCGGTCCCCTCCTCCTCCCCCTCCCTCTTGTCCGGAACTTTACCTCACCAGTCTGAAGCAGCCACCCTGTCCGTAACAAGTCCGGACCTGTTACTAGGGGCTTCGTCCGGTTAAATTCCGGAACACGTTATCCAGATGTTTGTATTCAGACAGAAAGGTCTTACGGACAGATTCCGGAACATTTCCGTTTTTCATGGCCTGTCTGAAGGGGGCTTAAGTGTGAGGAGATGAAGGAGTGGAGAACTGTCTCAAGTTCAGAGAGTAAAAACTGCCCGTATGAAACAAGGAATTAAAAGAAGAAATTATTCCAAACATAGCGCCTCTCAAAATAAGAATCCAGAGGCACTTCACAAGAACAAAAAAAGTCATAAAAACATTTATATCATATATATATATATATATTATGTCAAAAGTCATAAAAAGAGGAAATTTTAAATAAAATAATTAACTGAAAAACGAGGAGGACAAAACGAATAAGAAAAAAGTAATACAGGATTACTGAGCGGTATGTCTTCATCTTTGACAACGGTGGCACAGGAGTTAAGTGCTCAAGTCGCCCTGTAATCGGAAGGTTGCAGGTTCTAGCCCCACTCAGACTGTCGCTGTCATTATGTCCTTGGGCAAGACACTTAACCCCCCTTGCCTAATGGTGGTGGTCAGAGGGACCGGTGGCACCTATGTAAGGCAGACTCGCGCCTCTGTAAGTGCGCCCCAGGGCAGCTGTGACTACATTGTAGCTCATCACCATCAGGGTGTGAATGTCTGAATGACTTTTTGTGTTGTAAAGCACCTTTGGGGGTTCCAGGACTCTAAAGGGTGCTTTATCACATACAGGATTAAAATAAGCATCAAATCCAATTACTGTCTCAAAATCTTTTGTAATGGAGTAATTTATGTCACCTGATTAATTAAATAAGTTAATTAAGTTGCATCTGTTGAATAACAATTCAAATAAACACACTCAAGTTTTGAGAAGTTTAAATTACTTAACAGGAAATAGAGTTAACTTATTCCTTTGATACATAATTTAAATATGTTTGGGCTCTTTGTATGAAAGAATTTAAATTATCATCATCATCATCATCATTCACAAATAATGTACATATTACTTTTATTGCATAACATTTTCAAATCCTTTCAGTTTTAAAAGCGATGCATGACTTGTGTCTGAATGCTGGTCTGAGAACCCACCCAGTGATGAAGTCACAACCTCATCTTTGTGGTGCAAAGCAGGTGAGGTGTCACAAGACTTGGAGCTTAAAGTCTGTGCCGTGTGCAAATGTATGAGTACCTTTGTGGAGTGGGAGGCAGGGAGGGTTTCATGGAGGTAAGGGGGTTCATCAGATGAACGGTGGGATCATGAGAGAGCCCCCACGTTTCGTCAAGCAGCAGCCCTAAGAGACACAAAGAAGCACTCATAAACAGAAAAACACTCTCAGCTCATTCGCTGCACAGCAACGATTTATCATCACCATAGCCCACACTGTGTGCACAAAGACACGGCGCCCTCCCACTCTGATCCACTCACTTTAATCTGTGTGTGCATGTGTGTGTGGACTGCGCACTTCAAAACGTTAGCCTATCACTGTCTGCCGCAGCTCTGATACCTCTCAGAGGGGGAGGGGTGCTGCGAGCTAAATTTAGCTTGCTGATTTCAAAAGGAATTTAAGAGAACAGAGATGTGAAGAGGCACACTCCTCAGCACCGACATACAATCAGTTACTCACAAGAACACACACTTAAGGAATATTCTCTTTGATTATATCTTGGTTTACAAAAGGTCATAATCCTTCTCCATCATTCCAGAATCCAACAGAGCTGATTAGAAAACTTCTGACACACAAAAACACAACCACTTGTTGACTAATCAGTGACTATTTTAAATGAGTAATTAATCAGGATTCATAAAGTACAAATAAAAAAAGACAGAAAAAAACTGGGATGATTTACTTTACAAGAATGTGTCATTTAGTTAAACTCCTTTCACATCGACTCCCTTTCTCCTCATGGAGCTTACTCACCTCCTCTTTGCGTCACAAGTACAAAAGAAAGAGACAAAAGTAGAAGGTTTTTGGGCTTAAAATAATAGCTCTGATAACATAAAGATGGTTTTGTCTAGTAGTTAGGACTTGCTTGCATTTTCCCTGCAATAGACAGATGTCAGAGTGACCTCAGTTTGGAGAAACATGGATAAAATGTCCTGGGAGGGGGGTCGAGCTAGCAGCTACTCAGAGCAGGGTTGATTCAAGAGCAAATTACTTGTGTTACATATGACTCAGATGTCAGAAAATGTCAAATTTCTTCTATGAATGCGTTGTTTTATAAATTCTATGTAATATATATGAATATGATTAATTTAAAGGTTATTCATTTAACTATTTCTAACATTATCCACACAATTACCTAAAACAGGAAGTCAAACTGATTCTTTTTGCTCCATAAAACCTGAACAACACATGCAGGTAAAGTGTCAGCTGACTGTTGTCCCAGATTTGTGTCCTCAGACATTTATCGATTAGAAAATGTGTCAGACAGACAAATTGATAAGAGCGCTCTTATTCTGTGGAAAAGATGTTTTTTTACACTGAACTACTGAGACTGATTCATTATGTTGGCACAAGTCAAGTTTGTCTCACATCTGAAACTGGTTCAAATCAAGCTCACCTACAGGCAAAAAAGGTGTGAGCACATGACTTATGACCTTACTTTCCTTTATTAGCACTCTGTCTACTCAGTGTTCTCCTTACATAGGTGTAGCCGTGGCGGCCTGCCACGGCTGAAATCCCAGCGCCACGCATACGAGATCCCAAGTTTTATTGATTTTTTTTTTGCACCGTTTCCCGAAGAAGCAGCGGGAACTACTCTGTTGTTGCTTGTGATCACAGCCGGCAGGCAGCAAGGAGGCAGGGCAGGGTGGTTACAGCTAGGGATGAGCCGGATACTCATTTCAGACGAGTATCCGGTACGGATAAAGCATTTTTGACGAATACGAGCATAAAACTCGTAAATATCTGTAATCGTGCTGAAGAAAAATCCTCATTGGGTAACTGACTATCTTCGTGCTCTGTGATTGGCCAGTCACATAGAGCGCCCGCCCCTCCCTACACACAAAACTGCAGCCGGGAGCGCAGTCCGTCCGGCCCACGCACACACACACACACACACACACACACACACACACACACACACACACACACACACACACACACACACACACACACACACACAGTAACAGATCTCTGTGCTTGCTTCACTGTTGCTCACGTTTCTTCAGAACTCCCTAGGTTTTCTTTAGCTCGTCTCTTTTTCGGTTTAATATTTAAAGTTACTTTTTTCGTAGAGTACGTGGTGCATTTTACAAGACAGCTGAAAACGGCTCGTGCATGCGTCGGTCACTGCCTCCGCTCCGGTCGTTTTTTTTTTAACTCTCTCTCCCTCTCACACACACACACCTCAATCAACATTGTTTTGTTTAACTGTGTGGGGAAAATGCCAACAAAGTTGGGAAAAAATCAGTTTAATCAAATTAAAATAAAATGGTTCTAGTATTTCATATTTCCTAGGTCCTACTGCATCAGTTCAGATCATCGACATATAAATATTGGACAATGGGTTTCCATAGACTCCAATAACACGTTTTTGAAGAAAAATGGGAGGTGGAGACCACCGCCATTTTGACCGTGTCACAGGTTCCGTCAAGCCCAGACAATTCCACAAAAGGGAAGAGAGGTGGAGCTGAGGGTGGGGCTGTAAGGCTGGGATCAACTGACGACACCCGGTCGAACTAGCTACAAGCTAACCTGAAGCTAACGCGGAGGTGGGAGCTAAGCTAACAGAGGAAGCAACCTAGCTACAACCGGAGTTAACTGTGCACAACAACAGAGCTTCTGAGTCAGAGATACGCTGGGCTGACCGCTGGGTAAAACCGGGTGGAACACAGAGGTAGGGCTGCTCGATTATGGCAAAAATAATAATCACGATTATTGTGACTGAAATTGAGATCTCGATTATTTAAGACGATTTTTCTATTTATGTTGATTTTAATTGTTTTTATTCTGTCATAAAATTGCTCAGGGCACATTCAGGACAAAATTAAATAAGAAACAAGATGATCACTAAAATAACTCCTGATTCCCAGTATGAAAAGACCAATATACTTATAGCTCATAGTTTATGACCCAAGGGCTATTGACCTTGGTTTAACTCATTTTAGTCTAACTAGTACAGACCCAAATACCAATATCTTGCAAATACTGACAGCAAGAATTATACAGTGGCATTCATAACAAATAAAAGCTACTAAATTGATGTTCATAAAATGTTGTATAACATTTATTTAGTCATGTCAAGGTGCTGTAGAAGAGTGCAGCACCGTGTCCTCAGAGAGATTAGTTATTATTTATCAGCATGAGGAACTTATTTCTATCTATTTCTACCTTATTTATAAACTATTTATTTACAGGTCCATCAGTTAATGTAATAATTGTCCCAACCACAGCTGCACCCCCCAACCCGGTTTCACAGCAATCATGGGCAAGCTGTACGTGTGTTTAGCACGCGCACATTTAGCTGTTTTTAGCGACTCAGGAGCCCGCAGGTGCAGTGTGTGTGTCACTCACTCTGGTTAATCCAACAGGGAGCCGGCTCTGAGAGCCGTTTCTTTAGCGACTGACACATCACTACATCATTCCCTTTCCTAATGTCCTGAAGAACGGTCCGGAGCACAGGTGGAGTGTTTAGCTAACCTGCAAGAAATGTCAATGACAGTTATCCAGAAAGTAGCTAAGGGTTACCAGAGATGTTTCTGAGGTGTTCGCTAGATATTTTTACAATTTAAAAAGTCAAGAAGGGGGTCTGAAAAGCTGTTAGAAATAGCGTCAAAGTCGCTAAGTTGGCAACACTGTGGGAGGAGCGCTTCATTTGCAACTCAGGGCAGTGCAAGTGGGAGGAGCAAATAATCGGCTTGTTTTGTTTTTATAATCGTTCAAAACTCAGATCGTAATTGGGATTGAAATTCGATTAATTGAGCAGCCCTATTGTCGCTCCATCCTTCCTAATTTAGCCCACTTGTCCACAATAAGAGCTCCCTAATATAAACCAAGCCCTTCTCAATAAGTCACCAATTATTTATCCAACTTCCATATAAAAATGCTAATTTCTTATTACACAAATTACATGATAAATGATAATGATAATGACCCGCACTTGTATAGCATCTCTCAGAGTAAGGACTCCAAAGCGCTTTACACTACAGTGTATCATTCATCCATTCACACACACATTCACACAATGATGGTGATGAGCTACGATATAGCCACATCTGCCCTGGGGCGCACTGACAGAGGTGAGGCTGCAGAGGCGCCACTGGTCCCTCCGAACACCACCTGCAGGCAAGGTGGATTAAGTGTCTTGCCCAAGGACACAACAGCAGAATTCTCTGTCTACTGGACAACCCACTCAGCCTGTTGAGCTACTGCTGCCCCAGCAAATTTCGAATTAGGAACATGCCAAATTATTACATTTGGAGTCTAATTAAAAAGTAAAAACTGCCATTAATCAAATAAGTACAGACATATATTTTAGTAAAGCTAGAAAACTGTAAAAGACTTCAACTACACTGAGTTTTGGCTAGCAGCTATAAACGTAACTGAACTACGGAAGCTCTGCATGGACAAGACGTAATTGCATATGCAGTTAATCGTTCAGTTATTAGGGCCTTACATTAACAAGCACCATCATACATGATGTATAACTTCAATCACAAAATTCTGTGAGTAATTATTTTACATCCACCGCATAGCCGTGCATTCCCAATTGACACACCAACCAGACATTCACTGAATATCCTCTCCATCTTCATATCTCACGATTATCATTCCTTTATGCTGCCTTTTGAAGAGCTTAATGCATTGACATTGCTTCAATTCAACAAACTGCTCAAACTCAAACTGCTCCATAACTTCAAACACAGAAACACTAGTAGCACATCAGCCTTTAGGTAATGTCTTGAATTCTTTAATCCAATATCAAAATATCTTTAAATCGTTTCAATATATTCAAAATACTCAAGAGCATTTTTATTGAATTTAAATAACGGTCAAATACAAATGATTGCTGTGTTGTGAACCATGTAAATAATTTGTTCCCTCCACAACGTGGCAATACACAGAAATTATTAAATTTCTATATTCACCCAAAATGAAATTTACCAAATGGTCTGAGAGTCACTGCTACTCTAGTGTGCAAACAAGCTGTGGGTACAATCAGGTTGGAAACTGCAGACCTCCAAAAGAGAGCAGAAACACACAGAGCCTCAGTAACTGGAGGAATAATCTTGTTCTTTCAGTTTGTGCATAAATAACATCCCTCCACAGAAATGTTCTTTGTTCCTGCT